GTAAACACCCATATATAAAGTTCGAGCATGTTGGCAAACTTAAAGGAATAAATTTTGGCGCTCGACAATTGCATTCACCTCAAAACAATTCATACCACACCAACGTTGACCAAAATTCAAATATCTCACTTATGAATCAGAGATATTTTCTTGAAATATTTAAAATTATATAGAAATTTTGTATATTTTTTATCACACCCCAACTAGCCACCCTGGTAGGGTCTATCGAGGTGCAACAAAGGCTGAAAATTTAGTCAGATCAACTCTCACCAGCACTCATTCTAATTTTTATATTCAAAATCCGGTAGGTAATGAATTAGTCTAACTAGATCGTCACAACTTACGTGACACATTGCATGTCATATACATACTCGGAAACATGAAAATCATATCATCCAAAACATAAAAACTATATAGAGCTCCTAAATCCCATATAATAAAAAAACAAGCCCAAAACATACATACAAGCTCCTGAAACTATCATGTAAAAGATGTACAAAGATACACCTGACTACTCTCCCTGTGCTCGTTGCCCCTATTGAAAGACAACAATGAAAAATAAGCAACAAGCTCAAAGAAAAAATCAAGACTAACATATAATTTTATACATGGAAAAAAACAATGTGCATGTTCGTAGGAAATTGTACATGTCTACACACACAAGTAATAACATGCTAATATGGTAGAAAAAACATGAAAAAGAGCAGACATTACAAAAATCAAAACTATAGTGTAGCATGTAGATCGTAAGCATAAAATTATAAGTATAATCAAAAGTATGTTCATAAGCATGTTTATAGATTTTTTATAGTATGTTAATAATAACAATGTCATTTCCTAGTAATGTCACTAGTTTAATGTCTAGTTCTCAACTATTTTCATTTTCTTTCATCATGGGTCATAACCTTGCCCCAAAGGCTATGTAAATTATCGACAAAAGTTAGGCTTCTCCCAACATGCAGTTATCAATAGCCCCCCTGATACTCACAGTTCCCTAACATTCTCTCACCTCTAGTTCCAACGGTTCACAGAATTTCGTCCTCGTATAAATATCCGGAGTCGGGAATACTACATCCCTATATAATGTACATACAAACATCATTTAAAATCTACCAATAGCATTACTTTTGACATTTAAATTATCTCTCGTGCATCAAGCCCTTATCAAGCATTACATGTATCATAGGCATAGACATGAGACATAACAAATGAATCCCTACAGGAAATTCATATCACATGCAAAGTCATATGTAGTGCAGTCTAATCATAGCATTATATGTATCGTAAGATATGTAAATGTGCATTCACACTTTCAATTGCAGGTATCAATTTACAATATACAAAAAGTTCTAAATGCACCTGTGTCAAAATAGAAATCATATGAAAACCTATAGAATATTATTTTTCATAAATTAACACAAGATTATTTCACCTGATTTGATAGAGCAGCCCTACGACAAGCGCCCTACGCTCGTCTCGAGCTCGCCACCTCGTATAGACAACATGAGGCTCGTAGAAAACATAAGATTTCATAAAATTAGGTTCATAACATGCATTAACTTAGAAAGATATTTTATCTGCCAAAATGTACCTCAAAAGGGCTTTTCAGCATAAATTCTCCTTTCTAAAATCACCACTTTTACTTTTTCCTCTCACTAATTTCATGCTAAAATATTTTCGAAGGCTCACAAAATCAATTACAACTCTTCTGGCACAAAATTGGTGCCTTTGATAGCTGCTAAAAATGAGAAAAACAAGAAAAATGAGGTAAATGTCAAATCAGAAGGGTAAGGAAGGGAATGAAAGTCTCAAATAACGTGAGAAAAGATTCACACTTACAGAAATTGCCTCGAAACTCTAGATCATGCTCTGCAGCACTCAGCCCTGCGCCCAGTTTGCGAGGTTGATACAGTAGCTCGACCGAATTTCAAGCGAGGCCTTGTGGAAAGCTCCAAACATGTGAGACCGCAAAAGGGAGGGGAAAATCGAGGAGCTTTGGAGGAAATACAATGCATCCGACAAATAAAATGGCGTGAGACGATGCGGAATATTGCGGGTACGAGAGATTAAGGGAGGCTTAGGATAAAGATTAATTAAGTTAAGTTAATAAAACTTAAAACTTCTCAATTGTATATCTATCAATCCGTTCATTATTCATGCATGGTGTTCTATATGGAATTAATTGATTTCTTGTATAAATTTTAATAAATGTATTTTGATTGAATTGTGAGAGATATAGAATTTTGTGTATTTTTCAAATGTGTTGGACTTTATCTGATTTCTTGAATTTTGGGTGTTACATTTTTTTTTCTAATGGAATAAGTATTTTTCACTTTAGATAATGGTTTATATACTTATAAAAGCCAAAATATATGCAAAAAAATATTTTCTAGGCACCAGAAGCCAATTTGCCATTTAGAAAAAAAATTATTTTTTTTATAAAATTAATAATTTTCTAAAATTTTCAAAATTAATGTATATATTTAATGAATAAACGGGTCACGATATGTTTGCAATTCTAGATTACTACTTTTTCTGGCTTGGCGAAAGAGAAGGGAAAGTTGGAGGAAAGTTAGTTTCCTAATAAAATTTTAACATAGGCGTTATTCAATCCGAAGATCAATGACAAATTTCAAAGTTTTTATTGAAAAAGCAAATTGACTCCCACTACATAAATAATTATGCAACATTTTTGTGCTCATAGAATGGTTTATTTCATGACTTTAAAAAGTCCCAGATGAATTGAGTAAGTTCTCAACACATTTGAAAACATTTGAGTTGGTCAAATGGCACACATAACAAACAGTGATTGACTAGTTCATTAATGTGCCGCTTGCTCCTGACACATGCCATGGCAGGACTAAATGAATCAAACGTCAGTTGGCACCCATGGTTTTTGTTTAAATGCTAATTCTAGGCTAACTGTTTAATTTCTGAATGGCTAAGATTGATGGGCTCCTGCAGGTTTGTATAGGAATTTCACTCTAACTATTGTTTAGAAGTGGACAGAGAAAAATTAGTCCTCAGCGATCTGTCTTAGCTACCTTATTATTATTCTCTTAGTTTTTTTTTCTTAGTTGGAAGTCTCTCCCTTCATATTTGATTTCAAATATATGCAAACCAGGCGCCATCTCTAGAAATTTGGATTCTGCAAAAAATAACGAGCAACTATAGCATTCCTTGGAAGAGTAAAGTAACATAACAAAATTTTAAGGACTGCTAGAGGAACATAAAGCATACATGGGGATGGAAATATGATATGCTGGGCCAAAAGAAGAAAAGTAATAAAAAAAACAACAATCAGAAAAAGACATAATACGATGGGCAAGATAGTGACAGAATAAAACAATAGAAAAATAAATAATAGGAGATAGGATGATTTGTTAATTTCCCTCACTCTCTTTTTATTGAGGAGAGTAGAATTCTCATATTAATTATTCTTTTGTTTGCATCTAGTAGCGAATTAAATATACCCAAGCTTACATAATAAATTACTTCACTGTCATTTTTTGTTAAATGATGAACAAATTGATAAATCAATTTACTAATTAATAATCATATAAAATCATCAACACCATATAACCTATAACTGTTGTAGAAGAAGATTACACAAGAATTTTCTTGAATAAATTCATCACAATCGAGGTCAAACATATGAAATTGCTCAAATAAACCTCTAATTTTGATCACAGTCAAGAACCCTCAATTGCGTCTATCTGATTCTCATTATCTGAACTCAAGTTTCAATTCTTTAACCTACCTACCTTATATGAATTGGGGCTATCCTTGGAAAACCTTTGCAGGTAGATTTACCTACAGTTCATTTCTCAAGGCCCTTTGCTGCAAGGATTTTGATTGAAAGAGATATTACACTACCAGATGTAGAAGAAGTCTGTTTGACTTTGCTCGCAATGGTTATTGGCAAAAAATCATTATGAAACAAAAACCTTACTACTGCAAGCACTGCAATATGTTTGGACACCCGCAATGGACACCCGCCGCAAGAGAAATGTTTTAGATTGCACCCACAGTTGAGAATCAATAGTCAAAAGCAGGAACATGTTATTAGTGCACCCCACGTGCCTGAACGAGCTCTCAGCAAACCTGAAGACAGTCAACCTGAAGAGAGAATCACCACAAGACAATAAATGGTGTCTGCCCCTGGGAACCCATCTTCTGACCATACTATAAGGCATAATGTTCAGACTGAAAGTTAGGAGGACAGCCCCGCAGCTCCTATTCAGGAACATCAGGTGCAGAAGTGACAATTCACACTTCACATACACTCTAATATATTGTTGTGAAAACGACTGTTTTTCCTTCACTGTTGTTCTAATATCTAATCAGACCGAGGATCACATGAGCAAGTCATCAAATGAAGAATGGCAGGTTTACACTTATCGGCGGAAGAAGAAAGCTGGGGCATACTCCCAACATGGAAACTTAATGAATAATACTTTGGTTACTCCTGGCAATGACACGACTCTTCAAAATTTGTTATTTGGCTCCGCTGTTATTTGGCTCCGCTCTGGCAGGACTAAACTGAACTAGAGGAAGAGGCAGGACTAAGCTGGCTCGTCCCTAGCTACTTGTTTTCTGCATGTTCTAATTTTTTTTTTTAAGTCTATCTGTATCTTTTTGTTGGGGTACTACTGTACTTGGTATCGTATGGGTAGGGTGCCTCTATTGGGCCCTCTCATACAACCTTTTATGTATATATATAACTGTGACATATGTTGTTGTAACTACCTGTAACAATAAATTTATCACTCGCTAGTATTTTTAATAGCACATAATGGAGAAAAATGATTCATGTAGCCAACCCACTTAGTGGGATAAAGACGTGTTGTTGTTGTAGTAGTTGTATTAACAAAGAGCTAAGGATGGACTAAACAGTTCATGATAGCAAACAACATAAAATTCACAGAGCATACAATTGAAGGAACAATAAGCTTTAGCGGAAAAAAAAATAATGCACGAGTAAAGATGATTAACATTACCTAGATAATGTATGTACAACTTGCCAACAGCCGAAGAAACTGATCTTTGAGAAGCATAGAGTTGTACGCAGTAAAAGACTGTAAGTGGCTGTATTTAAGCATATACCAAAACTCCATCAAGAGTTGAAAATTTTTGTTTAAACTAAATTAAAACATTCAAATAGTTTGACCAAATATCTGCGCAACAAACTTTTGATAACTCATCAAGCACTCGATGGAAATAAAGGATAAATCAGATCCATAAAAATAACATACATATTTGGAGTAACAGCATTTGGAGCAAAAAATAGCATAATTTGTAACAAGCTGTATGCAAAAAATTTAGGATTCCTATATCGCTTGAACTTAAATGCTGAAAAGCATGAGTAGTCTTTAAACCCAAAAGAAAATGACATGATCGTCAAACCTAAGAGTTTTATCAAAATTTTGAAAAAAAAATTAAATCAGTGGGAAAAAAGAATTATTTTTGACAAAATCAAATTTCTGACATCAATTTTTTTCCCAAAATTAATAGCACTAACTAACAAAGAAAGAGAAATAATGTCTCATGCTAGTATAATGAGAAGTTGATGCAAGATGACTCATGGTTACTAGCTTTCCTAATTGCCGCTAATATGACACATCATATGCATTCATGTAAGGAAAATTGAGGATCGGTCGATAACTACTACCAATCAAGCCAACATCTCATTTTATTTCATTGCAAACAAGTAATAGTTTCTCAGATTAATTGATAATGAAATAATATTTAAGTCCAAAGAAAATATAAAAATTGAATCAACTTAAGGTAAGTTAAATTAAGTCAACTAGATGTTGGATAACCTGATTAAAAGTGGAATCGAGTGAAAGATGCAAGAGAAAAAGAGGGAAATGAGTAAGCGAGCGAGCGAGAGAGAAATGGAAAAGTGATTTGTAAGTGAGTGAACTCAAGTGATATCAATGCATGAGGAACAGAGGACTGAACCAAGTAGAGGGAATAACACTAGCAACCAAGCATAAATCGATGGGCTGGGTAATGCCATTATGACAGCAAAGCAATGTGAGGATTAGTCAAACATGGGCAGGGTGATAGGAATTGAAAACCAAGGCTTTTCTTTCTCCTTTCTTCTCAATCCAAACGTAAAGTTTAAACTGATTGCTCCTTTCTCAATTTGAGAAATCCTCAACCTAATATTTTCTTACAAATAATTTTCTTAGGCATTGATTTTTGTGGAAGAAACAAGATCAAGAAAGGAAGGAAAAAGCTATACAACAAGACAAGAAAAAAAGGCTAAATGATATTTAGTCTTTGATATGTACAATAAGTAAACTACAAAACTTTAAATTTATGAGAAATGTCAAATTTAAATTTATTTGAAGCTTTGCATTTTTATGTAACAAAGTTAATTTTGGATTATTAAAATTTTAATTTAAAAAGGTGAAATAAAGAAGGTCATGTTATAAGTGAGATAGGAATGACTTGTGAAGTTGGCTAGTTTAATCAAATGCTAGATTCAAAATTAAACTAAAGATTTCAAAGATTAATATTGGTTTATGTAGTTGAATAAAATAAAGAATAACTACGTATGATTTATATACTTCAATGAAAAAGAATATTATTAAACAATAAAAAAAAGTTGTAAAAAAAGTGAATATATGATTTGAATAAACTAGTCACATGGACCGCTTATATCAATATATGATTATAAGCACTAAGCCAAAGTGGCAAGTCTTCCAAGATAAAAGTGAATACTTGTATTTCTATTTTCTAGTAATGGTATCATTTCTTCTAAATCTAATCCATTGATTGATATATTCTCTTATATGCATTTTATAATGTTATTGCTACGAGTTCGTCAATGCAAATTCTCTCAAATTAAATACCAAATTTCTTACATGCACATTATCTTCATATTATATCAAGAATGTTTCTTAAAACTCACTTTATTTCAAATGAATTTCTCATATACAATATTTATTATGAAAAAAAAATGTATATTGAAATGGTTGCAGGAAAATGGTAGGTAGGAATGTTGTTATATGCCTGTTAAAAAATGTAGTTCAACCCCTTATAGGAGTAGTAGGGGACACTTTATGCATGTGCGTAGAAATTTTAAGTTTCTCTTGCCTCAATATTGGCATAAGTTTGAAAAAGACATTGATATTAATGTGTCATAATTAGTGCAAATTAAATGATGCTTCTATGAGAGTCATATTATAATATAATATAAGATATGATAGCTCCTATTCAAACTCATGTTTTTTATGCCATTTGAATGTCATGTTATTTTTTCTATTCTTAAATGATATGTAGATGATTATAAATACAAATGTTATCGATATAAATTGTCCAGTTCTATTTATGGTAATAGTCAGGCATATTATTCTTTTCCTTGAAATAATAAAGTTTAGAATTATAATCAAACCACAGAGTTATACATATAACTCGCAATTATTAGTTAACAAAAAAAAAATTTAAGAATCCTATCGAGTAAATGACTGATAGAAGTAAGTTTGTTTATAACAAACAAAGAGCATTTAGTAATAGGTGCTTCTAAATCATACGAGTACAAATATAATTTTTTGCAAATTTGGTATAAATTTAAGAATCCTATCGAGTAAATGACTGATAGAAGTAAGTTTGTTTATAACAAAAAAAGAGCATTTAGTAATAGGTGCTTCTAAATCATACGTGTACAATTATAAATTTTTGCAAATATCATAACTAACAAAATGATCTATCATTGCCATTTACGGATTAGTGGCTCAATTGATGTATGGTAAGAACAATTCAAAAATTTTGTTGTGTGTATGTAAAAATTATTTAAAATATGTCAGATTATCCATCCTTGCCAGGGTATTCTAAGCTCTCAAGGAGGCTTTCACACTGCTTATCAAAATCCAAATGTTTTAATAAAATTTTAGAAACAAATAAAATCAAAGAACAAAAGAATTTTTTTTCATAAAAGCATATTTCCAACCTAACAGTTTTTTTATTAAAATCAAAAAACATTAAACTAACCAAGAACAAATTGTATAGAAGAAAACAATAACAAATCAATTCAAGAGATAACATCTTGTTGAAGCAATTAATCACAATTAATCACACTTAGGTTGTAATCAAGCAGATTAACGATTGGATTGGACTTAACTTGATCATATAAGTTATTCATTTCCAGCTTAAGCAATACTTAGCTCACTCAAATATTTTAATTATCGTACTTGATTTATACTTGGCTTGCTTATGTAATTTAGCGAGTATTTCAATGAGTTAATAAAAAAAATTAACAATTCAAACAAGCATATAGCATTTCATATACAGTATATTCAAATTATAAATCTAAACAAACAAGTTACTAAATAAATTTCAAATTAATATCTAAAACGCTTTATAATAATTAAAAAAGATAAAAAAATAGTCTGTTAAAATAAAGAAATAAAAAGAAATTGAATTAAATTATATATATATATATATATATATATCCTATATTAAATATATGAATATAATTTATTTATGTACAGGG